AATAATTATTAATATTTAAATTAAAAGTTATATATTTTTAAATAAATAAATAATTATTATTATAAAAATAATTTAATATTAATAAATATAATAAAACATTTAATAATTATAAAAATATTTTTAAATAAAAAAAAAGTATAATAAAATATTTAAGTTTATTATTAATTTAAAAATTATTAATTTTAAATAATTTTTTAAGTTATATTAATATTAAAATTAATAAATATTATTTATAATATTATATTATATTATTATTTTTATTACTTTATATAATATATTTATTATAATTATTAAATTTTATAATTTTTAAAATTATAAAAATAATATATTAAAAAATTTTATAAAAATATTTACGTTATAATAAAATAATTTTTATAAAGTTTAATTTTATTAAAAATATAAATTATATTTATTATAATAAATTTATAATAAAAAATTTAATATAAAATTTTAAATTAATAAATTATTATCTTTATAATTTTAAAATTATATTAAATAAATTTAAAGTAAAATTAATTAATTAAAAGATTTTTATTATATTAAAATTATTATTTATTATTAATTAATATATTAAAGTAAAAAAATTAATAATATATATTAAAAAAAAATATATTAATATTATTAATTTATTATTATTATCATTAATTTAAAATTATTTTAAACATTTAATATAAATATTTAAAAATATTATTATATTAAAATAAGTTAATAATTAAATAATTTTTAAATTATTAATTTATAAAAAAATTTTTTTTAATAAAAAAAATAATAATTTATAAAATTTAATAAATAGTAATTTATTAATATTAAATATATTAAATTTATTAAAAAATATTATTTTTAAAATAAAATTAAATAAATTAAAATAAAACGTTAATAATTAATATATTTATATTATTAAAAAAAATATTAAAAAAAAAAATATTATATTAAATAATATATTATTAAAAAAAAGTAATAATAAATAAAATAAAAATATTATAATTTTATAAATTAAATTTATTTTAATATACGTTAAACCATAGTTCGTTAAAACGCGGGGGTTGCGCCCGTTATAAACGCTTTAAAAACGCATGGCTCGTATGTTTATATTTATAAGTTACGGGTAAGTTTTTTAATAAATTATGGTTTAAGGTTGGCTTAAGTTCGAGCTTACGTTACGATAAGATTTTAATGATAAAATTTAAGTTTTATATTTATAAAAATTTAATATAATATTATAACGTATAAAATAGTTTTAATTTAAATGATTTAAAGTTAATAATATATTATATTTATTTATTTAAATTTTTTATATATTTATACGATGTTACGTTATTATATTATAATTTTAAATGTTAAAATTATTTTATAATAAATGATATTATTATTATTATAACCATTAATAATATAATTAATAATATGTATAAATAAAATAAAACGCGTTTTATTTTATTTAAAATAATAATTTAAATTTTTTTACTTTTTTTATATATTTATATAATATTACGTTATAATATTATAAGTTTTAACGTATAAAAATGTTATATTAAAATTTACATTTATAATAATATTTATAATAATATTTATAATTACGTATAAAATAATTTATTTTATATTTAAAAGTAATAATATTATTATTTATTTAAACTTTTTTGTTTTTTTTATATTTATATAATTTTATTACACGTTATATGTTACGGTTATTATTACGACCGATTAATGTTATAATTAATGTTAAAATTATTACGGTTAATTTTAATTATTTTTAATATTTTAAGGTTTAAAATACGTGGATTAAATCGATAAATTTAATAATAAAATTAATACGAATGTATAATTAATAATTATTTATTATAAAAACGTATTAACGTTATTATTTTTAATAATTTTATTAATTGTTATTATTAATGTTATAACCGGTGTTACGATCGGTGTTATAATCGGTGTTATAACCGGTTACGATTATTATAATTATATTTAATACTTTTAAAAGTTTTAAAATATATAAATTTAATTGTAAACTTAATAATAAAGTTAATATAATTATATATAATTATTATTTATTATAAAAATGTGTTAACGTTATTATTTTTTAATAATTTTATTAATTAAATAATGTTAATGTTATTTTTATTATAAGTTAATTTTTTAAAAAACACGTGTTTAAAATAACCTTAAATTAAAGATTTAAAAATGGTTTAAAAAAGTTATATAAGTTGTAATTAATTAAAAAAGTGGTATAATTATAAAAGTACATTTTTTTAAATTAAAATTTTTAAATTTTAATTTAAAATCATTTAAAATAAAATTAAATAAAGTTATTTAAAAGATTTAATAATTATATTATTTATAATAATAAAAATTATTTTTTTTAAAAAATAAATTTTAATAATAAAAAAAAGTATAAATTTAAATTATTTATTATTAATATAAATTTTATACTTTTTTTTAATTAAATTAAATATTAATTAAAATCTTTATTTAATATTAATATAAATACGTTTAATATAAATTTACTATTAACATTATTAATAATTAATAAAATTATATTTATTATTTTAAATTATTTAAATATTTTATTAATAATTAAAATTAATTAAAATAAATTTAATTTTATAATAAATATATTAAATAATAAAAATAAAAATAATAATAAAAATAATAATAATAATATAAAAATAAATTTAAAAAATAATAATAAAATTTTTAATAATTTTTTTAAATTGTTTATATAATTTTTATATTTAATAAAACATTAATCCGTTGAAGACATTTTTTACGTTAAAACTCTTAAAAATTATTATGCGAAATTAATAAAGAAATGATAAAGAAATGATAAAGAAATGATAAATAATTAATAAATAATTCATTAATAAATGATAAGAAAATTAATAAGAGATTTAATGTTTTCGACGGATTTTCACGTGCGAGCTTACGAGCACGTGAAAACGCTTGCGCGAGCTTATAAATACATGCGTTTTTTTAAATTTTAAAACTTATAATTTTATTTTTTTATTTTATATTTTAATTTAATTTAATTATAATTAATTATAAAATAAAAAAACGGTAATAATTATAAATTTATATATATATATTATATAAAAATAAAATAAATTTTATCTTAATTTTTTAACCTATTTTAAGGTTTTAATACCCTTTAAACGTAGTAAAGAGGGACCGCCAGGCGCTTGGGCCCTTTAGTAATCACTTCCATCTCGTCTGCCGAGTTTAACTCCCGAACAACCACGGAGCTTATCCGTTAGCTAGGCCCATTGCCATACGGAGCTACCCGGGGCTAACGGAGTAGTTCGATCCTAGGGCACTCGACACGCGGACTAGCTAGCTATAAACTAAAAAGAGACGAACGGGTAAAAAAAACAAAACAAAACCAAAACATACAACACCGGGGATTCGCTGGTCGTCACCGACCCAACTACTGGTCCGGCGGTATCTGGTTTATCGATGGGAGAGCGGACGGGATCCCGAGTTTTCCAGATCCTATGGTCGTATGTGGTTGAATGAGGAGTTGTTAGAACCTATATGCCTACCTCCTACATACATACCTACCAACCTAGGGCAGGCTAGGTACATGCCCATCACTTACCTATTACCCACTTGAATCCCAATATCTTGAACTGTATGTACCACTACGTAAGGCATAAAGAATCGTGGATATATCCATCTCAAAACATATCTAGTTCACCCTCCGGCATTACATCGTGACCATCCTAACCTAAAAGTACCCATACCCGCAGTCATACACGCGTAACAACAATCTCACGTCCTGCTCATGGGTTTACAAATAGAGTCACATTTTTTATATTGGACTGCCATGGCAATCCTGTCAGCAAAAGCTGTCATCCTACCGGAACGCCATGCTCATGCAATGCCCCAACAGCCGCACGTAGCTGTTCATCCCCGTTGCTCTACATTATTTCCACATACTCTTCATATGCAGCCTGTTCGTTCCACATGTCCATACCCATGTCCAATTCTCCCCCCCGCCAATTCGATAAGTTACCTAGGTAGGTAGCTTTTCAGTACTTCAACGACTTCTGGCCCTTGTCCCTACCCTCGACGCCCAACGTCGAAAAGGCACAGTGTTGATCCTTGATAGCTACTACCTCGTACGTACCCTCCAGGTTTGCCGTGATTACCTTGCTATGCTCATAGCTGATATCATGTCGCGTCTCTAATACCTGGCTCTTCTGTCCCTTCCGAGCGTTGGTACTACGAGTATACGTGAACTCGAAAGGTGGCGTACCCCAGAATTCAAACAAGATCTCCACCTCGCTTCCTTCGTGGATATCGACCTGGATAACGCGGCCCTTACTAATTCTGACGCTCGGCATGGGGTGAATAGTCTTAGTTATATTAACGGCTGCCCGGCACTCGCTTCCTTTGTCGCTAATACTATTGATCGTGAAGTCACCAGGCGATTCGGCAATACGACGGAAGCTGGTGGTTTGGGACTTGGCCTTCATCTGTTTGCCGGAAAATTCATAGTGTACTTCAAAAGGAGGCGTGCCCGAAAGCGTGTAAGCGATGCGCTCACCGACGCAATAATCGGTTCGCTGCTCGAGCGGGTAGATAGACGGTGCTTCGTAAAGCTGAATATGAACCACACCACCACCGCTTTCCGTCTTCTGTTGGCAACCACGGGCATCGCGTACCTTGCGGATTCTGACCTGCTGGCCACCAAGCTTTAGGTACTGCCTGGGAATTTGAATGGCGTAATTGTTGGTCTGGATGTTAGGAATCCTGAATATCTCTGGGAGATTTCCGGAATGCTGTTTAATTTCGACTTCGACGTAGAATGGTGCTTTGCCCTCTAGCCTAATAGGAATCGATTCTTGCGGGCCGTAATCAGACATGCACATCTTGAATGTTTGACCAGGCTTGACAAAGGAAGCGAACGGCTTCGGGTTGACCGTCTGCTCCAATGTAAGAGGCTCAGATCTCTGTTTGTCGTTGTAGAGATTGTCTGATAGGCCAGAAAATGTGTAAGTGTATAATCCGGCCTTAGCTGTCTCCAGGGGAATAGATGCTTTCCCGAGGGCAGCATCGAACTCTTTTCGGGCCACCGAGCCCGAGCCTGCCCTCGGCTTATGTTTGACTTCATACTCCACGTGGTACGGAGGCGAGCCTAGGATCTTTGTTAGCATAATTCAAGGGTCATAGAGACATAAAAGTAGCCTACCTTTAAGTGTAACTTCAAATCCGTCCACATCGCCCTCACAGACATCTCTCTTGATAAATTTATTTCTCTTATCTGTGGGCTGAATCGACTCGCTAGGCGAAAACGACAGCTCGGGACGCGGGTACCACTTAACTTCGAAACGACTGGCTTGGGGATTGATGATGCCACTGCACCCGTGATCCCTAACATCAATAATCTCGTAGATACCCCGTTCCTTCGCTTCAATGAAATCGTTGCCGGTCTTCGCAATGCGAACCCCTGGTTCCTCGGAAGTGCTGTTAAGGTTGCGATAGCTCACTATCCATGGCCCATCACCGGACAACTTCAAGGGGAGATGGGCTGTGGCGGCTTCAACAACCGTAACTGACCTCTTACCATCAATAACACCAAATGCTGCCCGCGGTCGCTGGCGTCGCACAGAGATCTTGGCCTCTTCCTTGAGGAATATGCGACATCCTGTCTTGTCTCGTATGCTCTTCAGGGCCAAGGTGTACTCACCACCGGTCGATAACGGAGCAGTTTCGATGGTGAAGGTGTCGCTTTCAATACCAGTCGCTTTCTCGGACTTCCTTTTACCTTCGTGTACGAGCTCCCACTCGAGCGTGAAAGGACCGTCTCCGAGAAGAGCCACGTCAAGTTTGACTGGCTGATCCAGACAAGCATTAATGCTACGGCGTTCTGACTTGAAATACGCTGTCGCAGGCGGCTTAACATTCTGCTCCAGATAGTATTCATCCGATAAAGGTAGAGGAACGGTGTAAATGGCATCTTCGATTCTCCTAAAGCGATATTGGTAGCGCCCGGCGTTCCTAGGCAGAAGATCGATCTGTTGTCTGAGGCCTCTGATCTCAACAGTCTCCCTCCTATTCTGTCCAGAATCGCTGGTCACGGTGTATCCAACTCTAAAAGGAGGGGTTCCGATCATATCGAGATTCACCCGAAGTCCAATAGAGTTACCGGCACACTTGTCTGGAATCTCCTCGGCCTGAATCGACAATGTTGGTTCAAGAGGGTTGAGCAGTAAGCAAGATGAGGGTTCCTCAATCTCTCCCTCACAGGAATCACAAGACACGGATTTCAAGGTATACAAACCTGGCGCACTGATCTTAGGTTGATCATCCACACTCTTGGCGGTAAAAGTACCGACCTCGACAACGTCGCCATGATCGCCACTCTTAGTGAGCGTGTCGATTGGCGAGAAAATCCAGGTCAGAGTGTGGGAAACGCTATCCGGAGTTTGACCTGGGCGTCCAATCTGGACAGGAAGCTTTGTCGACTTTCCCTTAGCGACCTTGAGGGGGTTACTAGGGTCACAGCCCTTGATAGTAGCTCTTGGGCGTTCTCGCACAACAAAATTCTGAAACAGGTGCTTGGGTTTAGGCTTGGCGTCGGGATCCTCAGGTTGAGGATACTGGATGACATTGCCAAAGACGTCGTGAACTTCGTCGATGGAATACTGCCACTCTCCCGCGGAATTCATCGACTCATTCAGGCCTACCTCGACGGTCTGTAGCCTGGCCCAGGTATAGTCCTCTTCTCCTAAAGGCATTATAGTCGATCTCTGGGTAAGCAGGGGAGATGAGAAGCCGTCGGGCTGAAGACTTTGAAAATGGAAACTGTGATCTTTTCCATTGATAGTGCGGCTGTAGACGATCTTTAAGGGCGGCGTTCCATAAACATCCAGAGATAAGTTGGATAGATCACCGATACACTTCGTTGTCGACTGTGCCGTACGAACCCGGGCTCTCGGACAAGGAACAATATATGTAGGCTCGGTAAGTCTCTGAACCTCAAGCTTATACTCATCAAGGACCTTGTTTAGTTGATAAACGCCTGGCTTCTTTATAGCGATGTCGTATCTATAAATCCCCAGTGCTCCATCTTCGACAGACCTGGCCGACTGTTTGCTAATTTCCCTAATCTCCTTACGGCTGAGTTTCAATACCTCCTGAGAATCGGATTCTAGATCGAAGCGAAGAAGTTCGACCTCGACGGGAACCGTAGCGTTGAAGTAGATAGGGACAGCCGCTACATTCTGGCCTTGGCCGAGACAGTAAGGATTCTTCTCAGGATTAAGAAGGGCAGAACTATGATAATAAGTCAGAAACGGTCTACTATACGTATGTAGCATGGTTACCAAGGACTTACCCTTCAGGAAGGATATTAATGATCTGCTTTCCCATGATAAGAGAGGAGTTATGCAGAATGCTCGAGACTTTAACATTGTGCTCAGAGATAGCGAGTTCCTTGTCATAGAAGACCTTAACCAGACCGAGAAGCCAGGAATGCCAAGGCACGGGAATGTTAAACATTAGAAGCCAGTTAAATACTAGATGGCCAAAAAAGATCATAGAAACCGTCGGTGCGGCCAGCTCCAGCCAAGGTATGCGCATGGAAGGTAAAGAGAAGAAGAAAATAAAGTCAAAGATGACCCATTTACAGAAAAAGTAGAATGAGCCGCCATTATCCTCTAATATCTGTATCCAGTCGTAGAAGCGCCATCCTAGAAGGGCTACGTAGATGGCGAAGGCATAAAATCGCTGGGTGGGTGCGTCAATGATGGTAGTAGGGATTACCGGCTGGCTATTCGGAGCGGAAGAGGGTTGGCTTTCGGGAGCGGTTGGTAAAGTAGTTCGAGGTTTAGCATCTTGTGCCTGACGTGGTCTTTGAGCTCTAGCGGCCGGTGTTTGAGGGAAACCTCCAGCGCCCACGCGCGGCGTCCCGGGATTCATTGCATTCCGTGATGGTGACGAACCATCAGGAGCGGAAGAAAATATCGGACTAAGTTGGTAAATTGGTTGTTGATCGATTGGTTGGGCAAATAGAAATCTTGGTTGGGAGAATAGACAAAGTGTCAAAGTGTCAAGATATATCGACTTAAATTCGACCAGTTAAGGTGTTTTAATCAAGCCAAATATATGTCCTTTTAACTTTGTCTATTGTTGTCGAGCCAGCGCGAATAAGGGAGGTATGTAAATACCTTGTTGAGCTCGTCGAATAGGCGAGTGGGCGAGTGGGCGAGAGTGGGCGGAAATTTTAGGGTTGGTCTGGCAGAAAAATACAGGCCAACATCACGACGCGGGCGCGTTCAGAAATTCTAAATTTCTGAATGGTGCCAAGCCAAGGTTTGACTGTCACACGCAGCTGCTTGCCAACCGATAGCATTTCTCGGAAGCTCCTTTTTTCCTTATCTGGAGCTATGACCTTCTAGCGATTGAAGGTAGCAGTCAACTAGCAGTCATAGTGAAGCGCTATTATAGCGTGGGGCAATAATCCATACAGGCGGAAAAGTTTGGACGTTCTGACGTTTTAGGGCTTTGTAGGTACATAGCTATAGGTACCTATTAGCTATTAAAAGTGGGTACATACCGTTGGTAGGGAGCGGGTAGCTACATCATAAGCTACTGGTAATAGCTGTATGATACAGGTCAGGTACAATACATGCAATCAATATATGGATTACCTAGGTTAGGTACTTGCACCAATCTACCTTCAGTGTTACTCCAGTGTTACATACACATATAAACAATCAATTACACAATCAAAAGGCTGCTATGGACATCATCCATTGATTCCTTTTGGTCCAGACATATTCTAACAGTGAAATTGCAATCAATTGATATTATTAAACTGCACAAGATACTGTATACATCTTATCAATGGGTAGGTAGGTAGTCGGAAATTATTCCGTTACATCAGCTTCGTCCCCTCAGTTTGATCACATCACAGGTCACATCAACACAGCTTAAACCATCTCTCAGCCTCTCCTAGCCAAGCCAAGGCCCAACCTCAACAGATACGAAGAAAGTAGTGACTAAAACTATTACTCTGTACGGGTAATACGAGCAGAGATTGTGTTGTAAACAGATTTAAAAAAAAATAGGAAGGGAAGACGCAGGCCGTGCCACGTATCGGACATGTGTTCGTAGAGGTATATCAAACTCTCAAACTGCTGCCTTTGTGTTTCCCAACATTTTAAAGCCCCTGAGTCATTTATGCAAAAGGTAGTTAACATAACTTACAGCTGGTCTAAAAATCTAGCAGGATGGAGAAGATAATAATACCTGATAAAAACCCATACTCTTCTTATAGCCTCGCTTGAGCCTCAACCATCCTTGGAACCAGTGCGTGTAAGTCTATCTTGATTTACACATCTTGATTTATATATACGTACCTAATATACCTAAAATTTATATCACTGATTAAAACAAGTGCAGGGCTGAATGAATAAATAATCACTTTTGTGGTCGCCATTTCCTATATTATTTTAGGGAGCGAGGCTTAAAATTCTCGTCCACAACGTCTGCGACGTCTACATCTCATTGCCACGCCTTGTTGCCAGTTGCCAATTTATATCCGCACCTTACACCTTCCTCAACACAAATATCTATCTAATCTTATCGTCTTGGGAATAAGATTCACGATATTTATTTCGTTTGATAAAAATCCCAAACCCCACTCTCAATTCCTACAACGCATTCTTTGACAACTCAATCTTCTCCTTATACCATCACTAACCGCAACGCAGCGAAGCGCAGTGCCATCTACCATCTTCCCTCTTACGCCACATAATACCATTTCATACAAAGAAATCTCAGGTTTGACCACTTCACCGTATTTATGGCGGAACCTGAGCAGGTCGGGACACCTCCTGTGTCTCCAGACACCGCACATAGCAATGGGGCGCAGAATACCGGCGCACTTAGTAACGGCACGCGTCGCTCGGGCAGAGCAACAAAGGCACCTACCAAGTACGATGAGGAGTATGTCATCCCTGCTTATAAAGCACATGTCCAGCCTGCCATTCCGTCAACCCGCCCAAAGCGTAAAGCAGCTCGCATCGCACAGGAGAATATCATCCCCGAAGATCCTGGTCCACTCCTAGAAGCTGCCTTAAGTCGAATGTCCCAGGATGAGCGTAAAGAATATGGTGGTTGGGTAGAACTTGAATCCGAGCCTGTAAGTTGTGTAGCTATAGGCTCGTTCCTGCCTATTTAGCTGACCTATCTAGGGATTCTTCAATGCCATTCTGCAAGAGCTTGGAGCTAAGGACTTCAAGGTTCAAGAAGTGTACAGCCTGGATCCAGACATCCTAGAGTTCCTACCGTAAGATTGGTATCCAACATGTTCGATACGTAAATGCTAACAAGGAGCAGCAAACCCGTTCATGGTCTCATTTTCTTATTCCAATATGATGGATCTGATGAGCCAAGCAACGAGGTGAACCGTCAGGAGTGCCCTGACTATCTCTGGTTTACCAATCAGGTATGTATTTCTCCTTAAGCCAAGCCTTTACGCTACATACCGACTAATAGGCCTATAGACGACAGCCAATGCTTGCGCTACCGTGGCGCTCATGAACATCATAATGAATGCCCAAGACGTCACTCTTGGTACGGAACTCCAGAAGTTCAGAGAGTCTACAAAAGAGCAGCTACCTCCCCATCGGGGCATTTCCCTTGACAAGAATGACTTCATCCGAAGCGTACATAATTCCGTTGCAAGGTACGACTATACCTCTTCTTTGCTTGAATGCTATCTAACCCAGGCCAACAGACGGATCGATCTCCTCTCTGAGGATCTATGTCTTGACAACAAGTATGAGGAGTCTGTAATGGTGAAAAAGAGAAGGACACAAAAGAAGTCCACCCGTACCTCACGTAAAGGGCGGGTTGAGACGAATTATCATTACATCGCTTACGTGCCTGTGAACGGCCAGGTTTGGGAATTGGACGGCTTTGAGAAGATGCCGTTATGTCTTGGTATACCCTACTGCTAGAACAAAACATCGTAACTTCCTGCTAACTATTAATAACCACAGGCCCCATATCGGATTCGTGGATCGATACGGCAAGTACAGCAATTCAGGAACGCATGATGCGTAATTCAGAGATGCCCGAGTTCAGTCTTCTAGCCATCTGCCAGTCTCCTCTCCAGACTCTAGCTAAGGAACTTGCAATTAGCCTAGCCTGCTCCCATGCCCTCCACGAGCTCTATAGCGGGAATACCAACTGGACCGTCCCGGACCCCTTCAAAGCTTTCCCCGCCCCTCATCTCGCCCAGCGAAACCTAACCCGCGAAGATATCGTGTCTCAAGAGCTCCCAGATTTGTATAAGATCAGGACGAGCCACCCGGATTTCAATGCCGATGAAGCGCTGAAGCTAGCGAAAGAACTAAGAACGGAACAGGACTCCCTCGACGCGCAATACGTTGCAGAGCTGGCGACGGTAGATGAAGCGGTGGATATAATCCGTGGTCGGCAGCGTGATTACACGCCTGCGATACACCATTGGGTGCGGGCGCTTGCCGAGAAGGGTGTGCTAAGGGGGCTGATCCAGGATATTGGGTCGTAATGGCTGGATAAGATCTAGTACGCAACGGATTGTTGCTAATATGAAGAAAGTGGAGGTATATGAAGCTTGGTTCGTTCTGAGATTACTGGCCCGACGATACTATTATTTTGAACGCCAGCATTACGGCCAATACGTGGATACGTGGGGGGAGGGATGTATCATGGAAAATAGGAGCCTTGATTTAGATACTACTCGTCTTGACACTAATTCATGATATCCTCTGCTCTGCGGGTAACGGATAAGAAACGTACGTAGCTTCGGTGAAAAAGATGATAAGTACCCTTTCACTACCTACCTAAGTACGAGAGATGTGAACTATGCCCCAGGGGATGCGATATAATTTTGAAATGAGATATGTCTGGAAGGAAGCCTGCTGTGAAATCGTGGTATACACTAAGAGAATACCAATGTATCCTCTAGGTAGGTATCCAATATAAATCCAGCCAAGGAAATAAATCCAGGTTAGATATCTACCTTGTATACCTTATATAGTGTTGAGCTACTCAGAAATCTGCTCCGCAACATAGTATCGTCTCTAATACCCCTAATACGCACCTCCAAGCATCTACCGTACGTGGCATTTATTTATTTATCTATTCATACACACACATATACGTACATTAGGTACTACTCGCCATAACACCACTCTGCCTCTGGTTAAAAGCACATATACCTACGTAAAAAAGGGGACTGATGGCAAGACTCGTAAAGTTACCTAAGTATTTGTAATCTTGCTAACCAATATAACTACCTCCTAAGGTACCCTTATCTGCTTTATTCTCTACACGAACCAAGCAGGTAATCTCCCCAACCTCACCTGTTCCTGTTCGCTACGAGAGAATATGCCCGTTCAGAGTAATCTACAACTCAACATATCACCCTCAAGATAGACAGTTAACATAAAACAAACGCACTCTTCTGTTCTGTTCCGTCCGGCCGGCCCTGTCTACCATCATTGTTCTTTCTATTCGTATGCTCGTCTGTCTATGCGTAATATATGCGTAATATCCCTCCTTCCCCCCTTCCTCTCCTCCCCTCCCTCCTCCCGCAGCAGTATTTATGTTTCCCTTCTCCCTCTTTTCGCTAGCCGCATGGCAAAACACCCCCATCCCATTAACAAATAAGTAGCGTAGGTATCTATCCTCCCCCGACACTCCGAGCCGAACCGAAAGAAAAAGAAATCTAGCCGCACAAATTTACCCTTAAATTTACCCTTGCCGCCTACCTGCTAATGCAGTGCAGGGCGGAGAAGAAGAGATAAGTGATAGACTGACTGATAGACGGTTGTTAGGGCTTAGGTACGTGTAGAGTCTTACTGCACATCAGGCACCCGTGGATCAGGAACATGGCAACAATAGGGTGGACTTCGAAGTTGGTGCCTGCGAACAGCGTGCCGCCGGGGACCTGGTCGAGGATCCAACCCTTGCTCACCCACCAGGCCATCAGGGCGTCGAGACCTAGCGTCGTAGGAATGGGGGTGCCCTCGAAGTAGCTGGCCTTCCCGCTGGCGTCCTTGGGGATATCACCGCTGTTCGCCGTGACGTTGAAGCGTGCTAGTCGCGTTAAACCACATAATACGAACGCGGCCAAGAACACCTGGTCGAGCGTCGTGCGCAGGCCGATGCTAAACGCTACGCAGGCTGGGGCGAGACCGAAGGAGATCTATAGGAACGAACTCGTGTTAGTGAACTGGTTCAGACACCATTGCCTGCCTTTTCAGCAGAAAGGAGCAAACCTACCAAATCTGCCAGCGAATCCAACTCCTGACCCATCATACTACTCTTCTTCCGCCACCTCGCAACCCGACCATCCATGAAATCGAAGAATAACCCGAAGGGCAGGAACGCGAGCGCGAGGTACACGTTTGTCTTGTCCGCGGGGTCGCCAAGGCAGTAGCGCAGGGAAGAGAAGACGGATAGGATGCCGCAAGCGCCTGTATAGCGAAAAGAATGACACTCGTTAGTAACGATTCTCCTTCTAGTATATAATATAATATCGTTTGGTTTTTTCGAAAGGGAAGGGTGGAAAAAAATACCATTCAGCTCAGTGATGTAGTCCGCCATATGCAAAGCCTTGAGCAGGGAGAAATGGCCCGTAGATGAGAGAAGGTCCTTCTGCTTCTTATACGCTACAGGATGGATGGTGATGTTAGTATTAACATAATTCAACAACACAATACACACCCTGAACTGGGTGCCTAAGACAACATACAAGGCTCATCCGCAACGCTCGCCTGGTTGACCTTCACCGCAGCGCCATTGCTCGCACCACCCGATCGTTTCGACATCTTTTCGTCTTTATCTTCTACTCCAGCAACAGCACGAACAACTCCCTTCGCTCCGTTTGCCTATCCAGTATGTATAGGGAGGTATAAAAGCCCGTGTAAGCTTTTATATTCTCCTAGTGCGAAACCGCGTATCTATCTATCAATATTCTTCCCTTCACCGAATCTTCGTTGCGAGAAGCCGACAGTAGCGCAGAAAATTCTTCGATAGCCCGAAAATAAGCTAATGAAGCACGGAGACGATCGATTTACGTGGGTATCGACAGCGGCGAGGTGAGGACCGTTGAGAGGAAATAGTAAATAGTAAATAGAGGTTAACGAAAATCTTGGCAGTAAAAAATGGGCAACTTTTGAATCATATGGGCTTTATTTTTATTTTATTTTATTTTTGCTTCGGGGTACTAAGGCGCAGCATCATTGATGCCGTCATTTGGACACGTCCAGGTCCCGCTAGTCTCTCTTGGGACAAGTGGCTTCCGCCGCGGGGAGGAATAGCCACCTCATTGGAACCGGCTCTTTGTTGGGGTATCTTTTGTGCTACATGCTTTAGGTACATTTACATACTAACATTGAGTTACATAACCTCCATACCTCCTTATCTGAGGTAGCACCAAACCGACCTTGTTCTCGTCTTCAGGCCTCCTATCAAGTACGTAGGTACCTGCAATATCTAATACCAGGTAGCGTGGGACAAACATGATTAAGATCTAAAAGTCGTCATACTCAATATCTTAGGTCAGTAAAAAGCAAGTTAGGATTCATTAGGCTAGGTACAGGTAGGTTTCAAATATTTACGGGACTAATTACTTGACTTTGTCATCGTCTCCTTTTTCGAAAAGGAGATAACCAGATAACCAGCTAATTGTTAAGTGGCTATACAACCTCCACCATTCACAACCCAACACGACGCATCTTTCAAATGGCTCTCTCAGAAGCAGAGCACCTTATTAGTTCCTGGGGTTGCTGACTGCCTACCTATGTACAATGATTCGGGCAGTGGCCCCGCCATCTCCGTCACCATCTTCGATTTTTTACCCAGCTTGATTAATGAACGTCCGCTACAAACACTTATTAATTCGCGAGACAACGTCTCCTGCTTGTCTCTCACCATTGTATGTCTGGAATTGTCCAAGTAACCAGCCCAGCCAAGCCATGGTCCAAAAACCCAACCGCCTTGGGTACACGAGAATGATACTGGATAACCCGTCCGTCTTGCTATGCTCACTGAATTGGGTCCGTTTCCCCTTTTGGACGATCCCTTGGTCCAAAGACGTATACGCCGTAGTAATTATGAATGTTTGATGCGAAACGAAGAAACAAAAAGGCCAAGTTGCGAATCCTGTGTATGCCCGGGGATATAATGCTACGACAAAACGAATATGCAGATGTGGGAATCCATCCAACCTACCATAGAAGGATTCCCATAGGGATCAGCTGGTATTCTATCTCTAGCGAATACAGCCTCGTCTGTGCTATCACCTCCTAATATCCGAGAAGGTCCAATATTAAGTACTGTAGTTATCGAGTGATAATAACTGAGAAGCCGTCGATCCAGGCTGCGCATGACCCAGAAACGCCACAGACCGTGTAGCCGCGCGGTGGGAGGAGGGTATGACTAATTATCATTGTCAGCAATCTTAATGAGACGTTAAAGAGGGTTATATAAAACGTACGGAGAGCCACCGTGCGCATTGCCGTAAATTGGCGATTTCCTCCCGAGACTTGTAAGGATCTGAATGCCGTCTATCCACTGCCCTGACCGTACGAAGAAGCCAGTGATATACTCTCCACGGCGGATGTCTAGGAGAAGTTAGAACTAAAGGCCAACGGTGGGGGACTATGCTATAACCTACCCATTTCAAACGTATCGCCGCCAGGTTTACCTCCACGCTTTCCAAACAACTGGCTGGATTCATCGTCGTAGAAAAATTCAATGCCATCTAGGGCAAAACCGTGGTAGACCACAACGCGGGATAGCACTCGGTTTTTCTGCGTTGCGCTTGTAAAAACGAATTCTTGCGGTTGGCTTCCCTCCATTTGCGAGAAACCGAGCTTGTCGCCACGATAGGCCGATTTGCCGAAAGACAGTTTTAGAGAAGATGCCTTTGAACATAGGCTATGAAAGTCGTTGATATCGAGGTTTCCACCACCGTGCGATTTGATGCACACCTTCATCTTCGAACGTCGCTTATCCTCGGGTAGTTTTTCACGGAGCTCTTGTTCTGTAAGAGTGAGATTACGTTGTACGGATCCGTTTTCTAACGGATACTCGATCCATGTATGACACAAGTCGTCGCCCTCCGGATAAATTTCTATAAATGAAACCCCCGTAGCTGCTGTGATTTGAACATGTCCGTTCTCAACCGGCCAGGCCTGAACACTTGCGTCGGAGTTTAAAATGGGATCATTGGGTAGCTTAAAGCAAGGGTGACTGCGGAATCGAAGGCAATCAAGACGGTGCCAGGTACATTCGTCAGCCTGGGACACGGGCCCTCCCTTCGCCTTGGTCCGGGTAGAGTAAGCCTCGTGAGATATAAATGAACGGTTCAACTTGACGTAGTCTCTTAGCATGACCCCGCTCTCCTGATGCGGACATCCGAAAAGGTGGCCGGTTTCGTGGAGATGGGCGCCGATGCCGATATTTGCAGCTTCCCAAGAGCTTCCGGACTCGTTACAGTCGTTTGCGACAAAGTTGGTGTCAGTAGGTGTGCAGTCGGTAAACGCCGGTACGACCTCTTCGAAACTCGTAGGGTAACTCTGTAGACAATGAGAGCCAAAAATAGCCATGTGTAAGTCGCCGGCATTCCCTCCTAAGGCCGCATGACCCGTGATGACCTTCGAATTCGTATCCCAGTGAGCGTCTAGAAGTAACACTGAAACATGCTGTGTTTGCCCTGGGAGAGGCTTAAAGTATTTCTTAAGCGCGTCAGCTGCGATGCCATAAAGGTCGCCTTTTTTAGTCGCCTCAGGATTCTGTTGTGCCAGGTTAAGATCCCTGATCTCGGCTAGGGTCTTATCTGATCGGATAACGTGAATACGCGCTTCTGATCGCATCGCGCCCATTTCTCTATCCCGATAGTTGCAGGTGCCTGTTGTCCATTCCTCTTCAAACCTGAATACCCGTCGGCCGAATTTATTTCTCCACATCTGCTCAGCAGTAAATGCTTGCCAGAGGTAAGCAGCCATACGGAATTTACGAATAGCTGTCTCGATATCGTTTCCTTCCTTCTCAATTCGAGCAGGGACAGCATCAAATGTACCGGGGGAGTCCTTCGCGAGTAAAATAGCAAGCTGTAACGGCGGCGAGTTCATGGGAGGGACCATGTGTACGGTGATAAAGGACGAGTGTATCGGGTTTGAAGAACCGCTGTTTGCGAGCTTTGGGCTCGAGAAGTCGAACCGTAACCTATTTGCGCCGGGCATGAGATATACTAACGCCTTGAACTGCGACTCACAAACCGGCCAATACGTAGGTGGGAATCCATCGTCCAGCCTACAAACCGTAACAGTCCCTTCCGGTACCCGTTGACCTGCTTCCCCAATCATACCATTGATAAGAAGGATTTTCTGTGAGACCTGCTTTCTAATTAGCATAGGTATATATAAAACAACATCCGAACTGGAATTCTGCTTAATTCTGCCAATTGATGGGTTGAAGAACGCCCAACGGCAATTTAATTCCGAACAAATAAAAATTTCCATCATACCCAGGTATTCTCCCCAATGTTAGTAATTCGAGGGGCATACTGCGACACGGGTAGCGAGGATTTTCCGTTGAGTACAGGAGATCCCAACCCAGCCATTCCTGATACACTACTATATCGGTTTGAATTGGGCTGAGGTGGTGGCCTATTAGGTGGAATTGGAGGAGGCTGTTGCTGGTCTTTGGACTGTGTAGGAAATCCTGGGTCGGATTGAGCTGTTATAGAAGGTGGAGTGAGAGAACCGTTGGTGGGAGTTGTGTTCTGACTCTGTTGTTCGTCGTAGCTTGAACCGTCAGTAGAACGATCGGTACGGAAACTAGCTCGCGATCGTCTTCGGAATTCCTTGAAGGTTAGGAAAGAGGGCGCCATGGTAGCTTAACCTCAGCAGAAGAAGAGCTATATAAAGCTTTCAGGAGATACCAATTGTCTCGTCGGTCGGTATAGCTAGCTAAACTGCCAAGGTAGCCTCGCCGGTGCTATTTTAAGAAAGGGGACGTAAATAGATGCAGCCAGTCTAACTAACGAGGGCTAGTGAGATTCCTTAGAGCGAACGAACAAACTACCTAAGTCAAGTTGATAGAAGCAGGGGAGAAAAAAAAGAAGGTAGGCCAAATATTCACTCGGAGATAATGAAGCGAACGTTGCGTGGCTGAGCGAGATAAAAAAAAAACGATAGTGGAATGTAGATAGATCATCAAGGATAGGCTATTGTGACGGACATTAGGAGCTTGGACTTTTGATGATCTAAAGAAGTTAACATTAGCCTGGCTCTATTAAAACAAGGTAGTTGGAAGAATAGGTATTCTTCAACTCTTGTGATGGAAAATAAGTTGTTTCTGGTTTGTAGGGCCGATTACTTGGCCAACCGTATCCTGGTGTAGAACAACAGGCGGGCTGGTGTGTCTGTGTGTACAGGAGTTTTGTGTTAAATGTAGTCGGCTAGATTGGATAGGCGATCATTAGCGATCATAGCTTTGTAGATTGCGGATTGACATGTGTGTGTCCGCGGGAGGGAAAACGGGCGGGATATTGACGAATTGACGAATGATGATGACGTCGCGGCTGATAAGTGGATAGTTTAATACTGGTTTGGTAAAGATTAAAGTGGATTATGAAACTAGTGGGATTCTTTTGACCCTGAAATTGCATCGAATCTGCATCGGTCCATGCCTACCAGGGAAGGCCGCTTGGCCTATTTGGAAGTTAAAAAAACTTGGATACGAGAAGTTGCTAACCAGCTAACCAAGAACCACTGAACCAGTCCGTAACTTCCATGTTCTGGTTAGCCATAATGTTACATTTTATATGTATGTAAGTGTTTATGTCAGATTCATATTTCATACATAAAGGTATTCCGTCCACTCGTCCACATCAGCGATAGACTACCTGGGTACCTCCTACCGATACGCAGTTACACAAACAAAAAGTACGTTGAGATGGCATAAGCTGACACGCGTACTTACGCCTCCGAATATTGATATGTATATGAGCAGCCACGATGCAAACTTCGGACTGGAAAAATTGGAAGTTTTCGGAACCCTTCGGACTGTACCACCCGTAGATAGGTAAGTGGGACAGTAATGCGCATGTTGGTGAACAAGGTCTGCTTGGAAAGAGCCGGGCCAAGGTTACAATGCGTTACAAGGATGTCAATATAAATATATTTTGCTAGGTTTTATTTGGCGACAGGGCAAGCGTCGATGATTTCGTCCAATCTATCATCACGAACGATAGCCGGGGCCTCCAGGTCATTATAAGACATTACGTATACCTATATGAAAGCGATAGATTCAAGCAATTCGTTGTTGGATGTTTTGATATGTGGTGAAGTATTACAGATCTCTAGATCGAAATGCGAATTACAGCGATTGATGGAATGACTATTTTGTACACGGTAACACTTACATTAATACCTGTAGCATACCTAAGTTTTATACTATTAGAAGATGCAGCCAGCCGGTGATAGATTTTGACGGGTTGCAGCTGCAAAATGCACATCGTATAAGATGAGGCCGCTAAGCTGTTACGAAGGCAAGAAACCGTTTAATATAGGGATTATACAGCTTGCTGCTGCTTAACCCATCGTTTTAATTCGAAATGGGTTTTTATTTGAAACCCAATATATAAGTTGACTCGTAGTTGGCATCGCAGGGCCAAAAGTTATTAGAACAAGAACTTGTTGGAGGTTACAGGCTTTAAAAGGTGGTGGTTGGTATGCAATAATCAGGTGTTCGACCCAATAAGCAGCATCAATACCACCCATTTCTGCTGAACTCCCGTTAGAGCTTCGGTGTTCCGCATCTACTTGTCCGGCCCGGCCCGGCATAACTCAATCTTGTAAGGTTGCCTTCCATATAGCGTCTCACGTCTACCTAATATATCAATTGTTAAAGATACTACAGACACGAATAGTTATAGTATTCGATTCCTTATTGCACTTTTAAGTTGATACTCGTTGAAAGTAGAAACTCGAATGCTTTTTCTAATGATAGAAACCCGATATTTTGGGCTCTAAGCGGAGTATACTAGTATGTTCCCCATGATCTCCGTGATCAACATCGCTGCATGTTCGTGGCATGTTTGCATGCCGGCCTTACGATGTAACCAATTAGTCGAATTGGAGACGAATGCGTTTCGTCCGATAAAATCTCGTATTCTCTATTATACCGCCCTAACCTATGGTGGATTTGCATTAACTAGTTATCGTATTAAGACTTAAGAGTTCGTATCATGTGTTTTCTATTATATCATCAAATGCAAGATACGAAGTTTTCGAATACTTAAAGTCTCCCTACACGCCTTCTTCTTATATGCAAACTTTAGTGCCCAAGTTAAGTCGACAGATTGGTCCATTACGGAATATATGCTTACGGCATCCTACCAGCCTACGTATTGCTTTTCATTACAATCATTTATAAGGCTTTTGCTTATGGCATGAGCGCAAAACAAAGTCCCTTCAACAACTTAGCCAAGCCTTTGATGATCAACAGAAATATTCCTTTGGGTTGATGTGAGACAAGAGAAAGCAGGCCCTTTTTTGTGCTTTAAGACGCTTTAAGTGCTTGCAGCAAAATGCGGGTTTGGCACGTTTTTGTAGCATTTAGTCTCGCTTTCGTCCGACAGGGGTTTAAATTGGCTGCCATTTTCGGATGAGCGGTCGCATGCCACGAAGCTCTCTCCATCCCCTATATTCGATGAGATCAGACCATGATAAAAGCTCGGCCATTATCTTGGAATTTCTTCTCCTAAACCTTTCCCCTTCTTGAAACATAGGCACGGAAGTTATCATATGGGTCTTTGATAAGAATAGGAGAGCATTATGACATCGACATACCCAACAAAAAGGGGGTCTTGAAATCTCACATAAAATACTTTTTTACTAAGACAGTATTGTAGATCCCGCCATATCGAGTCCACGCATATTTTATTTCCAGATATCAAGGTAACCCGACAACTTGCTGTACCTGTTGTGCAAATAGGGATGCTGCTATGCTACTAAGAAATGTGATGTCTAAAAGACGTTACTATATTCGTCCTCACCTTGTCTAATGGGATATGTGAACTTGCTATCTCATTCCGATCGGCTTATAGTAAAACTGTCTAGATGAAGATTCTCCTGTTTGTCGTTGATGCACACGTATGTTAGCCTTGAGTGTTTCCCAACGTCTCCTTTTTGAAGTTTTACCGGTTTAAACCCAATCAAAAGCTCTCCTCAATATTCTGCAGGTTTGTTAAGATCAGGCATGCCGCATGCTAGTGTAGGCTGAAAAAACAAGGGCGGACAAAACGCAAGCTTGTCTATGGGCTCACAGCATAAACGCCAGCCTATCACGCTGTCGCAGAAATAATTGGTTGCAAAAGCTAGATCCTAGTCGCTTAGAAGTATGTAATTGTATTGGCTTACAGTATCTAACCGGTAGATTAGTGGTCACAATAAACCCCCTGAAGACGTAGCTTACCGTGCAAGTGGGCGCTGCATCTGGCCCTATGAGATTCCGGATTTGCGCTGAAAAGCTACGGTACCTAGTGACCCAACAGTGAACTCGTCCAAGGCAGCCATGGCCTATGGGGGTATTAATCCTAGCTCCTTTTACTTGGAAATCAAGGGAAGCTGAGCTCGGGCTTTACATAAGACTTCCTAATTTCCAATATTGCATCAGCCGGTTTCCACGGGGAAGGAATGCGACGAAGTTAGCTCAAGTTAGCCCTGTCCAGGTTAGCCCAGCTAGCATAATTGGCTTAGTCAAGCACTTTAAACAGCAAGTACCGTTACTTTGTACCTTATGTAGATGGGACCAGGTACGTAAATAGCCCTTTCCTAACTTTTAGTGCAATGCCTATTTTCCTTGCGGGTATCCAAGATCGTACCTCCGCCAACATGAACTAATTAACTTTTTCCCTACACACTTCCTACGTACTGCCTCACTGTCGTCGTTCATTACATTACACATTACCGCATTACCGCGTTACCACAGTATACAAACTATACTATTTTAGTTCCTCTGCGTCCCTCAGACTTTTTACTGTACATATCGACTTCGAGAACTATCTTAGTAAATTTTGAGACTCAGACGAATCGGTATACTAATAATACCTAATTCCATTCGTTCACGTTCATCCAAACCATACATACCTACCTATCAACATCTTCGATCCTTCCGAAGCAACCATCAACCCCCCTTCGCTTACACCAGCAAGCGCCTGGCCTACAAGTTGACCCAATCATCCTTACTCCCCGCAATATTTTCTCGACAATCACTCGACAAACGTCACTTTTTATTCAGGGGGGGAAATCCAGAGAGAAAAAAAAGTTTACGTCTGGTCCAAGCAAAATAGCATGTCGTCGCCGTTGAAGAAACAGCCTGAGGCTGTAGCAGATAAGGTTCTCAAGCGAGTGGAAGTCAGCAAGGTATGTTCATAGACTCACTCCACTTACCCGTCGAGCAAAGAGAAATCGAGACCTAACAGATTTCTTTTTTTTCACATTGATAGATCGCCCGAAGATTACAGGGTCGGTTGGCTCTAGCACAATTTAAGACAAAGCACGGATGGGAAGACTTGACACTCGATACGATCGAGCCCAAGATCGAAGAGGAGATTCGACGCAGACGCCTCGTCGACGGCGATGTACTCTCCGACTCCTCGTCCAGCACGTCAGAGCTGCCTTACCCTAGCAGCAGAACTACACTCATGAGCTCCCCGCTCAAGGCCCCTCTCTTTTCAGACGCCATTGGATCCAGCAACGGTAGTACAGGTCATCGAAAACGCACATACAACATGGCTTCGTTTGATATAACTATGTCGAGTCCAACCAAGCGATTCCGTACCTCACCCACGGCATACAAATCTTTCGAGTCTCCACATAGGTCATGGAAAGCACATCGTCAACTGACCCAGTCTTCTCCTACCAAGCCACGAAGGCAGCAACACTTTACAACTTCTACGGGGCCTGATGTGTCATTTTTCCAAGGTTCCCGCCGCCCCTCAGTGGATTTTACTGCACAAAATTTTGCAGCACATTCAGACGATGACGACGACCTATTACCCGCACATTCGTTCATGGTTAACCATGGCCTTGACCACAATCGGACATCACCCCCTCGAACACCGCCTATGCGTAGTAGATCGATAAACCGCCGAAATAAAGATAGGGGTATGGTAAACGGTGAGAAGCCGGAAGAAGGCGCAGATCTGTTGCTATATCTGGCAGCATCTCCCTCACCGGCAGTACATTCGACTAAGACTCGAATGGAGCCTCCCTCTACGCCACCTCAGAAGAAAGACCTCGCATTGCCGTCGTCGATGATGACAACCCCCGGAGGTGGCACCCTCTTCCCCACTACACCAGGCCAACCCTTTGACATGTCAGATTTTGTCAATATCACACCCAGCCCTGCGCAGAAGCCGTGGAAGACACCGCTGTCGCTTAAGACGCCTACAGCAAAGACGCCACTAAGCGGGGCAAGACGACGATTAACGTTTGATGACCCAGCACTTGGGCTATAAAGCTGCCTCAGCTATATGCCTAATCACTTGCACTTTACGTCGGGAAAAATATGTACCTACGAACGACGTTACATTCTTTTTTTTTTCACTTCTACATCTACACCTTTTTTTCTCACCATGATGTGCACATGCACACACGACAATACCCGGCTTTCGCCATGATCACTTAGTATGTTTCCCAAGAGGTATGGATGGACGGACAGCAAGGCGGACAGCAAGGGCTGGTATGCTTGTACAACATGCAGGACACGGACTACGTTTTTTTGTTTTTTCCTTTTCATATTGCCGTCTTTTAATCCCGAGGTCAACAACGTGGAATGCGTGGAGTCTATTGGTCACGACACCCATTGTTTTCGGTAATGCTTCGCACGATATTGCGCTTCACACCTACCCCCGCATACGGGTATTTTGTTGTTGTTATTTTTTTTTTCTCCCGCGAGATAAGGGAAGCTATTGCGTATGCGCAGTTTTCGACGATAGTTTGATGGTAGGGTATGGATGGGCGGTATGGAAGGACGGACTGACGAACGAAACTACGTAGCAAGCCGGTGTGGTGTGGTATAGCTCACCCACAAGACAGACAGACAAATAAACAAATAATGCGAGTCTTTTTGTTTCTGCAAATCCGATCCTGGGCGAGTAAACAAAAAACAAAACAGTAGCTAGTCGATTGATCGAGTAATTGGTCATCGAAAGTGAAAAACATGGACTAATTCGTTCTGTTGCAGTAGTGCTGGTGAATTGTTCGAGTCAGGTAGGTTGGGAGGTAGGTATGTGATGTTATGGAAGGGATGCATGTGACGACAATACGATGCCTTTTTTGTACGGGGCAGACGCGTTCGGGATCTGCGTTGGACGCGTAGTAGTTTAAATTGCGCGGCGGGAATTTTCGCGTTTTCGCGTTCTTTTGGCGTAAGGGAGGGGATCAGACCAATGAGGTTTGGAGGTTGGGATGGGGATGGTACTTGGGTTGGGTACTTTGTGTACATGTGCCTGAGAGATTTCGGTTTGGTGTGGTGGGGTGGAGAGCGGGGTACCTTTAATGGTAGAAAGCTTAAAAGTACGAAGTACTTAACTAATATAGATATGCTTAAGGGATCCTTTTATGAGATGAGATGAGATGGGATGAGATGAACGGTAGAGAGAGCTATTGGTTCTTTTGAGTTGGGAATTATTCGGTTAGGATGGAAAAGTGTTATTAATGGTATATTTTAAGGTGTTTATTAATTCTTTTCTAGCTTGGAGGTTTTGAGATTTACCTGTGTTGTAACTATGTGAGGTGGTATGTCTACATGTAAGTAGTTGGTTGATGAAGACATCGGAAACTTGATATGGGTGATGATTTGCAGTAACGAATCAATTCTTATGCTGACATGTACATAGACGAGAATGTAAAGTTTAAGACTTCCATAGCATTAGCTACGTAAAGTATGGCCAGGCCATCTTTATAATCAATATTATGTGCTTGATATAAACTCACACTTCAATAATAAAAAGGCGTGTGTGTTGCAGAATCGGTCTTCGCTACGTCCTTTATCCAACTAGGTATTCCTAGTACTCCTACATAACATCCACGCCATTATCAACACTTACTACAGACTAAATCGGAAGACTATTTTCATACCAGTATGTCATGTGTCCATATTAAAGTATCTAAGCCCATCATTCTTCCGTTCGCTACAGCAAAGATAAATAGTCCTTAACACGCAGCACCATCCCCAAGCCAAGCGTCTAACGTCAAAACTTTTATTTTAGCTACGCTATATCCTCATCGACACAATACACGTACTCTACCCAACTAGCTATATATCGAACCGTGCGTGTAGGCCTCGTAGTAATGTACACTCATCTCTTAATTCCCTCGCTTGGGTATATGGGACGGGGAACAAGAATCCCCATGTCGAACAGCAATGACAATAAAAAAGGGGAACAGACTCTCTCTCTCTCTCTCTCTCTCTCTCTCTCTCTCTCTCTCTCTATGGGGTTTAAGCAGGGAACACGCCATTTCCTTCTCCCTTCCCTAGGATGGTATCATAAGCGAGTGTGTAGTTGCTGGGTATCATAGATCCCAACAGGAAATAAAAAGAGCAATGCACCGTTAAAACTCCAAGCTACCCTTTTCGATAACTATGCTGTATAATCAAGCTATAACGCTTGCTTCGTGCCTCGTCATCTAACGCTCTCCCCGCTCTATGCTATACGCTACCTACGTTTACTGCGTCTTTATGTTATAAGCATAGGTATGCTATAGGGCCTTGCCCACGCTACCTTGGCTCTTGCCGCTTTTCGCGTCAGAATCCCGTGAATCCCGTCGCTCTGGTCGGCTATCTGGACTTAGTGTGTACCGCCCAACTACCGGACCGACATCTGGCCCCGGATCGCTCCAGCCCACGGTGCTTACGCCGCTCGAGTATTTCGACGTGAAGCTTGCGTTCCTCACATGGGCTTGCTGCGGAGCATTGGGTACACTCCCGACATCAGTGCTGCTGCGGCTGGCTGTGCTGGCCCATCCCGCGGTAGCGTCCATACTAGAGTTGGCGCTCCGTAGGAAATCCGGGCGATCTAAATCAAACGGGTCGGAGCGGAACCTGTTGCGTCGAGTACCGACGGTGCCCACGCTCGTGCGGTAGCTAGCGTTGCTCGTCTGGCGGCTGATACTACCATTTATGCTGTGACTGTGGGAGTGTCGAGAATGTTGCACGTAGGTTGCGATCCCCCCGCTGACGGCACCCGACGGAGCCCCGATAGCATGAGAATCCGAAAATGGATTATTGGCCGCAGAAACTACCAGAGGCGTAGCCTTGGCCGTATTGTTGCCTATGGCGTTTACATCCGAAAAGGGGTCAGCTGAATCGAAATCTAGTCCTATGCCGCCGAGGAAATGTTGTTCGTTGCCCACAGATATTGAGCGGCGCCGATTGCCGTCTACACTTCCTTGCGCCTTTTCTAATCCTCGGCCGGGCTGTGAGCCAAATGCAGGCCCATTGTTGTCCGACTCACGACGTAGTTGCCAGTTAGAATTCTCATCCTCCGCTAACCGACTCCACCAATCCACAGGACGGCCCTTGTCGGTTGATGGTCCTGTATTCGAATTGTTTCGACTATGGGCTGGCTCGGGCATACCAAATTGGGAGTTGCCGCGGTCAAGGTTGACGCTTGGGCTCGGACTACTGCTACGCGTCACCATGTCGCCAAACCGGCCACGCAGTCTTCTATACCTAGCCTCGATGGTCGCCCAGAGCTTCTGTGGGAGCGGCGTTGGACCCAAGGACGTCCGGCTTATGAGATAAGGTCCCTTCTCATTACCGCGGAATGTTGCCCTCGGTGACATAGGCGACAACATACTACTCCTCCGTTCTTGCCTCCTCTTCCGCCAGAACCAGATGATAAATACTATGAGCGAAACTACTATGACCCCACCAACTACTCCAGCCGCTATGGCTATCGTCTGTGCCGTAGTGATAGCATTGCCAGTTGCTGCCTTTTGGGTAGCTGGCAACCCCGTCTCTGCCGAGGAACTAGAAGCTTGTGTTACCCCTATCGTCGGCAATGAGGTATTTTCAACAAAACTAGTTAATGAAGAAGAATCTACCGGCTGTTCAATTAATGAGGATGCCGATTGTACAGGATTGTCATCCGGTCCTGCTGAACTCGACACTTGCGCATCTGATTGAGTAGGGGATGGAGTAGAAGCCGTGTCGAGGAGGAGAGCAGTTGAAGAAGAAGTTCCATCGGTGCCAGTTATGGTTGGCGCTGGAGGTGTTGCTGGGATGGTCGGGTCTGTTGATGGCTGCGCTGCTATAGTGCTTATCAGGCTTGGGAATATTTCCGAAGGGAGCGGAGTTTCCTGTTGGGCTGGGTTCTCAATTGCGGGTGGAGTATTGACCGCGGTTGAACTAGATATGGAAGAAGATGATGACGAAGATGAAGTTGAAGTTGATATTGATGTTGATGTTGAACTCAATGAAGATGTTTCCGATGTTGATGTCGATATCGATGTCGACGTCGACGTCGAACTACGTACTGCTTCGATACCTTGTACTAATTTCGGCACTGCCGTACACCTTCTGCCATTGCGAGTCGTAATAGACGCCATGATCGTGAACTATGAAAAGGCGATACCAGTCGCAAACCGAACACGAAATAATTAACGCCGCTTTGGGCAAATGAAGTATAGATAAAATGAGGCTGTGAGAAAGGGAAAGAGAAAAAGGAGACGGCCGTAGCGGCCGGGCTACGATGATCAGATCATCAACGACGGGTTGTAAAGAAGAGAAAAGTTCCGTCTCTTCCCCTAGGGAAAACAGAGTGAATTTGGATTAAACGCTCTACGTAATAGTGATATACGAGAATGAAGTTCGGAAAGAAAAGCACCACGCCTTGTCGGAAGAAAGCGAGAGAATAGCAAGATAGAGGGGGACTACCTAAGGCTCGCCTAACGACCAGGTCACTGAGAATACTGTCCTGTACTATGCCCCCCCCTGGATTTCTACCACCTCCGAGATACATAACCACATCGCGGACGTGCACTACTACGGTGCTAAGGGTTTTGCACGTCCATTAGATTCTGTTGCAAATGTCATGTCCCTGTATGGCACGTTTGGTGGTAAGGTTATGGAGGGACGAGATTGGCTGATGTCACCGTTGAAGAAACGAAAACGGTGGAGATCGGTTGGACGAGCAGACGAGCCAGACAGGGGGTAACCCCCAAAGCGCCGTGTAAGAGCTCCAATGAGTCCTTTAAGGAGAGTTGATAGCCTCAGAATTCCCTCTTGTGGACGTGGGGTAAAACGCTTAAACCCCTGACTTGTAACAAATCTGAAGCAGCGAGGGGTCACCCTTCAGCCGCATCGATAAGCCACACTATGTATAATACGTACATAGGTAGAAGAGATACATATAGATGTCCGGGGCCGGAGGCGAGTGGGCTTGGCACGGGTTGAATCGTTTAAGAAGTTCCAACGTTTAAACACTAGTGAACCGCGGGTAAGATAAAATTCTCCTCTTTCGTTTGTTTGAGAAGTAGGTTAGAAAGAAGAAAACATCTCGAACGACTCCGAGTTTCAAGGCAAGTATGATGATATCGTCGAGTCCCGACAAACGAGTAGTAAGTAGGGTCGGATCTGATATCCTCCCGGGTTGCGGGTTGCCGAAGGGGGATTGTGCAGCGACATGGTAGTATTCTGTGCATTATATAATCAATCCACTTAGACGACCCGATCTACCGAGCATCAAACTTGATGGATTACTGTTTGTTTGCTGACGTCGAGGTCAACAGTATATGTATATAATTCCTGACTTCCACTCGAGTGTGCATGTCATTCTCTCGTTTGGGTGGTAATAGTGTACCTAATGTATGTATGTAAGGGGACGGCTGGTCCACTTAGAATTAAGTGCCTAGCCAACGAAATGTTGATACCCCAAATTGCTTTAGCTAATACACTAGAACTACAGATAACCAACCAATAAGAAACCACATCGGTCATCGGCCGTTGGTAGGTATTAATTGATTTACTCTACGGATGTCCCTTTCAAAAGTTCGTTCCATAGGGAGACCCTTGTCACTCCCGACAAGCTTTGGCCATGCTTGGCGACGGCTGTTCACCTATTCGGCAAAGGTATCTTATTTTATTTTAATCTTTTAATATTTTATTTTACTTTAATCTTTTAATATAATGTCTTTTTTTCTAAATAAATCTTAAAATTTTTTAAAAAAAAAAACTTTAAATAAAAAAGGAATAAGTTTAAATAAAACCTTTTTTAAGCTATGGCAATGTTATTTTTAATTGTAAAAAATAGTATTAAAATTGGTGATAATAATGTATACATCTTCAATGTGCTAACAGGTGGTGGCCAAGCATTTAACAGCTGCTGGCAATCTTGACAGGGGTTTCCTATGGAAAAAACTTTTGAAAGGGACATCCGTAACGGGCCAGCTGGATGCAAGCCGGGAAGGTACAGTTACAAAGCACATGCTCAATTTACATAAGGTAAAATGTAACATTGGAAAAACCCTTGGAAGCTTAGGTACATATGTGCACACCTCCTATGCAAGCTACCTATGCAGCTACACAAAAAATGCACAGACCAAGATTCAAGTCAGGTCTAACTTAGGTAATTAGAGCAAAAACCTAAAAACCAAACTACCAAACTCCGCGCTCTAAATCTCAACCGATTACAACAGGGTCATTCCCATCATGTCTTTCCGACTCTAGTAAGCGTCACGAGCGACCACACCCTTCTCGATTCCTTTTCGGGAAATCTGTCGTAAACTTAGCGGAACTTGGCTCCATTCGTTTTAGTTCTTGGGTTCTAATGATATCTGAAGCAATCACACCGATTGATTGATTGATTGATCGATTGAGTTGTGTTACCCCATAAGCCATCATTGCAAAGGCAACCCTCTCTAGGACTCTTTCCCCTGCTGGACTACTGCCTCTATACTTAATCGTGTGCACGCCTACCTCTATATACGACAACCCGTTCAAGAATAAGAATGTTGGGCTCGATAGTTAGCTTCGGTAAGTCGACTCTTTAGCGTCTATTTTCTCATTTATTACCTATCGTGAAGTATGCTGTGGAACCAGCTGAGATACAATGGATATGCAGCCAACGATGCATTTAAAATTGTAAGCTGGAAAGTCTTGTATGATATGAGTATTCTCTCTTAAAGGTAAAAAACTTATGAAAGTCTTGAAAAAAGAAAAAAAAAAAAGACAGAAAAAAAAGGAAAAAGATAATTCTCATCTATATCTGATCATCTCTATATCTGATCACCATCTCATCTGTTTATTAGTGCCAAACGCGCACGAAATCGGACCGCCACCTAAGGATGTTCCGCCAGCTACTCCTATCAGATTACCACAATTCAAGCCTCAGTCATCTGACGCAAATTCTCACCCATCCCTTGTCCGTTTTCTGCAACAGCTGCAGCGTCCTAATGAGCTTAACGAGTCTCACTTCGCCGCTCTTGGCGTTCAGTTACATTCTGATGCCCCGCCCGAGGATGTTATTCCGGACCCGTCCTTCTTGCCGGTAGCCTCCGAATGGGTCGGCATCGACTTAGACGAGGCCCGGCGTAGGGATCCAACTTTTCGACGCACCTTATCTAATGGAAGGCTTTCTCCTGAGGCTCGTGTCTTCATGGACCGCCGTACCGAGCTCTCTATACCAAACCAAGCCGCTTTTCGGACTATTCGTCGCATCAAGCCTGAACCAGGGACTCAAGCCCCGCGGCTCGGGAATTGCTATGAGTTCTACAGGCAGATGGAGTTGATGGCCCAGTACTGGGACGACACCTCCTTGCCACCGCTCTCTACTGATAGTCAAGAGGAGTCACCACCCACTGACCCAAATTCTGAACCACCAGCTGCTGGTACTTCATCCGAGAACCCGGAAGCCAAACCCAAGGCCCCTGAACGAGTTACTTACCGCACTAATAGCGGCTCTAGCATGCCGGCCGAATTCCGCCACAACTTAATCTCGTCTTTCGTCAAACTTGTAGCCTACGACTTCGGCTGCAATGTAGTCCCGCCGAGAGTCGAGCCTCGTTTACAGCTGTTTTCGCCTCCATGTAAAGTGGTTTCGAAAACAAAGGTGCGATACTACCCTCAAGTAGCATCTTACTTCCCATCAGGATGCGTGTTTCTGTGTAAGGCGCCGATGACTCGCGAGGCCGCTCGTGCGGGTATCGTCGAAGGCCCCATAGCAGCGGTGTCAGCGCGTAACACGACCAATTTCCCCACTTCAGCAGAGGCAAATTTGGATTTCGGGCGGGAGCTTGTCGCGGCACTGATTACCGCACAACACCGTTCCCGCGAAGGCCAGCCTGAAAAACGGTTCGGTGAGGGCAAATGGTGGGCCACGGAGAAGCGCTGGGGTGGAGGCGAAGGTGGTCCCATAGGACGGGAGATCGACGGCGACTCCATCGTAGGCGACAAGGATTCCACCAGTTCCAGCCCCGAGGAGTCCGAAGGTATAAAGCCGGTACCAGTGCCAGAAACTACTAGCGCTACCAGAGAGATAAAAGTAGGGGGCAAGACGGTGCTCATCCCCATGCGCGGGCAGCCGGTGAGCAAGAAGCCGCGTAAAAACCTCAGCATATACGATAGCTACCGCATGGTGCGACTGCCATCTTCGAACTGGGATAAGAAGACCAAGTACACGGCCGTCGGTAAGATCAAGGGTGTGGACTTCGATGACGTATTCGTGCTTAGCAGTCTGTTCCACCACCTGTGCTTGATCCGCGTGCGCGTGCCTAACCGCCTACTCGAGGTGTTCTCTGGCGCACCGGACGGGAATGTCAAAGTTGAAGCGGGAGGGGAGAAGTTAAAGAGCTGGGGCAAGTTGGAGGTGTGGCGCAGCAAATGGTACGATTTATTCATCGTCGAAGAGCGGCTCGAGGCCATGCGCCTGCTCTGGGGAATGATGGGATGGGTTATGCGCACGGAAGACGAAGGCGGAAGCGCAAATGCAGGCGAGGATGTTGCCATGAAGAATGCTTAAGGTCGACTCCGGTTGAGTTTAGACTACTCTGTGGATTAACTACTCGAGCGCCATCCTAGGTTTGGGAGCCGCAAGCTCGAGTTACGAAGCCAGTTACTTCTTATTGGATCTAGAGCATGCGGTGGCTAGGATGTCTAGCACCCATCTGATAGACATGAATGAAGCATATGATGAATAGTAATAGTACGAAGACTACGTTCCTTTGTTTTACCTCTATCTAACCCATCCCCGGGCTCGTTCTCGTGTAGGCATACTGCGTACCATTAAATCTTGGCCTTATTTATACATAACTACCTAGCATAGGTATATAACCAAACCAATTACCTAGAATATCTAATGTTCTCAGTAAAATAGTGTGGAAAATTCGATATAATGTTAGTATCTGCAATCTTACACCGCCAACACACGCAATAGTTAATCAACGAGCAAGTAAATTAACCGAACTGTAAAGCAAGTATACATTTGCAGATATGACGTGAACCTATCAACAAATCTCTGACCTTTCACATGTATACGTGATACCTTCGGGTGGCACGTAAGCACGCATACATTGAGAGGTAGTTACATAGGTGGTAGGTAGATATTTAATTAACATCACCTCACCTCACCTTATATCAACATGCGCAATCTGATCACTCGCTCCGTCAAATTTATAACCTCCTTCACGCGACACCAAAGCAAGGTAATGTTGGGTACCTACCTACGTAAGGTATAGGGTTTATAAAAATTGTCGGTGTATAAGTTGCTGACCGCCTCCCGTCATCCGCAGCGTGTATGTATGTATGTATGTATGTATGTATGTGCCTGATGGATGTAATATGCTTACCTAAGTAAGTAAGTAAGTAGCAACGCGTGCGCATTTATACCTAACGTATGTATAAGTCTAAGGTACCTAAGGTAGGTATGTAGGTATGTAGGTATATTACCTGCCTATTACGCACATAATGTTCTGACATACATACCTCATACATACAGACATACATTTCATGTTGTAGTTGTGAGAATCGGGGGAGTGGCGGTAAGGGCTGG